CAAATCACGGGTAATTTCATTCCCAGACATGAGTGAGCTCACAGAATACATAATTATCAACTGTAACAAGTGCTGCGAAGAAAGGGACCAGCAAGAGAATAAATCAGAGAGACCTGATCTAGAATACAGGAGGCCTCTCCTGGGATGCAACGTTGAAGCTGAGACCTGAAGGATGAGCAGGGCTGAGATGGATGAAGAGAGAGAGAAGCACATAACAGGTGTGTGAAAGGATGCATTTCTTTAAGAGGCTAATTACACCTGTAATCCCAGCACTTTGGGAGGCCGAGGTGGGCAGATCGCTTGAATCCAGGAGTTTGGGACCAGCCTGGGTAACGTGGAGAAATTCCATCTTTACAAAAAGAAGAATCTCTCACACACACACACACACACACACACAATATTAGCTCGGCCTGGTGGCATGCACCTGTAAGTCCTAGCTACCCAGGAGGCTGAAGTGGGAGGATCACTTGAGCCTGGGAGGTCAAGGCTGCAGGGAGCCATGATTACACCATTGCACTCCAGCCTGGACCACACAGTGAGACCCTCAAAAAAAAAAAAAAAAAAGAAAGAAAAAAAAAACAGATGAATCATAAGATGAACATCTGTCAAATATTTTATTTAATCTTTCACCTTTTTAACCTTATTAATGAATGAGGGAAACATTAAGCTCTTACAACTGGTTCAAAGGCGAATTCAAAGTACCACACTTACATAGGTTAATCAGGAATGCTGAAATGAACATGTCAAAGATTCCAGATTCGGTGGATGAAGATCAGTTGTCCCTCCACTGGATAGAATGTATCGGCGTATGGAAAATAACCCTTACATTGCTCTTAGTTGTCTACAACTTGCAGAGTTGTCTCTAGCTCAGGAAATGAAAGATGGAGATGACCAGGAAGAGTAAGTCAGAATGTCTACAAATTCTTCCCCCATTTCAAAGCCTTTCACAGTTTGTCCTGATGTTTGCAAATGTCCTGGGAAGGAAAAGACTTAAGAAAAATGAAAGAAGAGGAGGTTGCTGGGGTATAATGAGCCAGGAAGAGAGTGGTTGAGATAGGATTCATGGTGTACATTCCCATTTGTAAGGGGTGTGTTGTGTGTGTGTGTGTGTGTGTGTCAAGGTAAAGCTTATTTTTTCTTCTTTTTATTTATTTATTTTTTGAGACAGAGTCTCTCTCTGTTACCCAAGCTGGAGTGCAGTGGCACAATCTCGGCTCACAACAACCTCTACCTCCAGGGTTCAAGCAATTCTCCTGCCTCAGCCTCCTGAGTACCTGAGATTACAGGGGCCCGCTAACACTCCTGCCTAATTTTTTTTTTTTTTTTTTAAGTAGAGACAGGCTTCACTATATGTTGGCCAGGCTGGTCTCGAACTCCTGACCTCAAGTAATCCACCCACCTCAGCCTCTCAAAGTGCAAGGATTACAAGCATGAGCCACCATGCCCAGCCTCTTCTTTTTTTTTTTTTTTTTAAGACCTAACAGAGATTTCCCATACACCCACTGACCCCACATGCACAGCTTCCCCATTATCCACATCCCTCACCAGAGGTGTATATTTGTTACAACTGATGAGCCTACATTGACATATCATTATAATCCAAATAGTGTAATTTACATTAGGGTTCACCGTTGGTGTTGTACATTTTGTTTAACTTTTATTATACATTGGATAAGAAGGGAATGACCTGATGCTAACAGATTCAGCAGAAAGACCCGGCAGGGGCTGTGTGCCTAAATTCTTCTTGGCCTCTGTGCAGAGCGCCTTCCTTCTGGGTATGGGGCAGGACACTGCTGGAATGGGGGTCTGATGACCTCCAGCCAAACCAGATAGGTCAGATTATTTCTTTCTTTTCTTTTCTTTTCTCTCTTTCTTTCTCTCTTTCTTTCTTTCTTTCTTTCTTTCTTTCTTTCTTTCTTTCTTTCTTTCTTTCTTTCTTTTTCTTTCTTTCTTTTGTTCCTTCTTTCCTTCTATCTTTCTTTCTATCTTCCTTTCTTTTTCTTTCTTTCTTTCGATGGAGTTTTACTCTTGTTGCTTAGGCTGGAGTGCAATGGCACAATCTTAGCTCACTGCAACCTCCACTTCCTCAGTTCAAGCGATCCTCCTGCCTCAGCCTTCCAAGTAGCTGGGATGACAGGCACCTGCCACCATGCCTGGATAATTTTTGTATTTTTAGTAGAGACGGGGTTTCACCATGTTGGCCAGACTGGTCTTGAACTCTTGAGCTCAAGTGGTCTGCCCACCTCGGCCTCCCAAAGTGCTGGGATTACGGGCGTGAGCCATCGCGCCAGATTGTTTCTTTATGGCCAATTTTTATACAGAAGGCGGATGGAAAGTTAGAGAGTAATACTTTAGGTTTTATGACTGGTTTGGGGGAAAGGGGTTCTGGTTTCTAAGACCTGTCAGGGTTTGGTCAAATGTAGGATGACATAATATATCCCTCATTGTATTATCAGACAGGATATTGCCACTGCCCTAAAAATCCTCTGTGTTCTGCCTTGTCTTTTTTTTCCGCTTAATAATATAGGACAAACATTTTCTCATATCATCAAATATCCTTTTGCAGCCCAATTGTGAAGGGCCGCGCCGTTCCCTTGCAGTGGACCCACTGCAATGTATTAACTAAGGCCTTCCGTCCTCTTCAGTTAAGTTGCTCCTATTTGAGATTCAGACACATTAGTCTTTGTTTTCATGAATCTCTGATGATTTCCCTAGGATAGATTTCTGTAAGTGGAATGTCTATTCTAACAGTGTTGATTAGCAAAAACTGCTTTCAAGTGACGTACTTTAGGAAAATATCGAGGTATGGAGAGGTAGCATCTCTGAGAGAGAGAGAGAGAGCACGCAGTGGGGCAGTTTTGGAGTCTGGATGTGTAGATTGGAAGAGGTCAGGGAGTAGAAGATGACTCAGGGTATTGGGCTTGGGTTTTCCTTAGAGACAATGGGACATGGGCGTATTTGGAAGAGGAACTAATTTGAGGGAAGAAGATAAATTTACTCAGGGACGTGCAGGATTTGGGTTACTGGAGCTCAGAAAACAATACTTCAAAATGGAGGCCTCAGAAGCAAAAGTTTTTCTCTGATCTTCTCCTGCCCTCTCAGTCCCATCCTCCCCGGAGGCTAGCCAGAGACACTAGAATCTCTCTTCCCCAAGGCAAGTCTTAGGAACCAGAACCCCTTCCCCCCAAAGCAAGCCATAAAAACTAAAAATATTACTCTCTAACTTTCCCTTTGCCTTCTGTTTAAAAATTTGCCATAAGGAAATTTTCTGACCTCTCTGATTGGACTGTAGGTCATAGGACCCCTTTTCCAGAGAGGGTCCTGCCCACACCCAGAAGGAAGGAGTGCTGCTCAGAGAGGCCAAGAAGAATCCAGACAGACAGTCCTTGCTGGGTGTGTCCCCACTCTGTCTATCAGCATTAGATGGTTCTCTTTTTGTGCAATCATATTTCTACAGGACTATCCATACTTTGTTGAACCTAAGCATAAAAAGGGACAATTTCCCCTGCATCTTTGGGTCTTCATTCCAAAAGCATACACATTAAATAAATGTGTATACCTTTTCTCCAATGAATCTGCCTTTTGCAAGTTGATTTTCCAGCAAAACTTTCAAGGGCCAAGGGGAACCAGGGAGCACCCAGGGGCACAGGGGCAGAGTCTGGGCTGGAAAAGTGTATGAGTCCATTTTCACACTGCTATAAAGAACTGCCCAAGACTGGATAATTTATAAAGGAAAGAGGTTTATTTGACTCACAGTGCAGCATGGCTCGGGAGGCCTCAGGAAATTTACAATCATAGTGGAAGGTGAAACAGGCATGTCTTACATGGCGGCAGGTAAGAGAGAGCAAATGCATGCATAGGAGGAACTGTCAAACACTTATAAAGCCATCAAAGCTCATGAGAACTCACTCACTATCACGAGAACAGAATGTGGAAAGCTGCCCCCATGATCCAATCACTTCCCACCAGGTCCCGCCCTTGACACATGGGGATCATGGGAATTACAATTCAAGATGAGATTTGGGTAGGGACACAGAGCCAAACCATATAGAGGTAAATTTGGGAGTCACAGGAGAGATCTTCTAGTTAAAACCATGAGAGGAGCTGCCTAGGGGAGAGAGGGCCCCAGGGTGATGAGAGCCCTGCAGAAGAGCCATGCTCAGGGGCACACTTGGAAGACACAGCAAATATGTAAACAGGAGAGGAAAAGGTGGGAAAGCCCCTTGGGAAGGCTGGGTCATTAACAATGTCAAGTATTGCCCTGAGGTCAGCAAGGCTGAGGACTGGGGGGGAAACCATTGTGTTTGGCCAGAAGAAAGTCCTGGCAACCTCCAGCAAATGCAGTTTCAATAGAATTGTGGGGGTGGAAGTCCGTGGTTTAGGGAATGGTAGATGGAGGCATTGAGTGTCGGCCACAATGTGGAGGATTTTGGCAGCAAAAAGAAGCGGGAAGTCTGGAAATTAGCTAAAAAAGAGGAGAGTGGAGCATTGTATTTTGTGAGTGTGTGTCTTGTTCCTATTCCAAGCCAACAGCTTCAGTCGGCTTTTCCACATCCCCTACCACAGTTTCCTCAGCTTATTTTTCAATCCTAAATATTTTTTCAATCTCAGAGGAGATTATGTGGCTTCATAGGACCAGCCCTTCACAGAGAGCCTGGCACATAGGAAGTGCTCACTAAGCATTTGCTATTGTCATCATTTTTTATTAAGAGTCCTTAAGGGCTGGGCATGGTGGCTCACACCTGTAATGTCAACACTTTGGGAGGCCAAGGCAGGTGAATTGCTTGAGCTCAGGAGTTCAAGACCAGCCTGGGCAACATAGCGAGGCCCCATTTTTACAAAAAATAAAAAAAAAATAGCTGGGCATAGTGGTGCATACCTGTAGTCCCAACTACTTGGGAAGCTGAGGCAGGAGAGTTGCTTGAGCCCAGGAGGTCAAACTTTAGTGAGCTATGATCACATCACTGCACTCCAGCCTGGGCGACAGAATGAGACCCTATCCCCACTCCCCCTCTCAAAAAAAAGAGTCCTTAAGAACAAAATACACAAACAAGAAGGACAGACATGGGGTAGGTAGAGTGAAAGTGGGAATGAGGTACAAGAGGAGGCCCTGTCTTTAGCAGGGAATAATTAGAAGCACAAAAGGCCGGTTCATCTCTTCTTGGCCTTCATCGTGGGTCTACGGTGGACTGCATCTTCCATGTAAGATGCACTAAAGGAGCCTGCCTGCCTTTTGTCAGTTTGCATGTTGATTTGAGACTCTTCTCCAAGATTTCTTTCTGCATTTTCATTCATTGCTTTGAAGTCAGTCTGAGTTTTCATCTGGTCCTGCCCCTTGGGACTGCAGGAGGGGACAAAGGGGGAACTCCCTGGAGTGCAAGATTTGGGAAGAATGTGCAGAGGGAAAATGAGCAAATGCGAAATGTGCCGGCACTGCCAGCAGATGCAAGTGAGGGATGGGGTGCTTGACAGCTCACGTCTCCAGGAGCAGATCGTAAGTGAAATCACAGGTATTCATCCACGGGGAGGATCTGGGCAGGAGCAAAAGCCCAGAAGGTTCTGTTTGTGTGGCAAGATACAGAAACAGTGTGGGCTGAGAAGGAGAGGGGCAGGTCCTGCCTTTCCTGTAGCAAAATGACAATTACCCCATCTCAGCGGGCTGTACAGAAAGAGGTAATTCGTTTATGTTGTCTGTAATTCTGCCGGCCTTCCCCCCTCCCCGTTTCACATCCTGGTTAGAAGGCAAATAAGTCACTAATGTCCAGACAACCTAGTTTAAAGCTTCGATCATTTAAATTGTCACTTTGGGTAGTGTCCAGTCTCTGATATGTTAAAAATGCTCCACCTTGCAGCCTTTAGCTCTGCCTACTTCTCACCCTAAGATACTACTTCTCACCCCTGTCTGGATACACAAAGAAAGAGATGTGTGTGGGTCACACAGGACAGTGGCAGGGTTGTGGGGTGGGTCTTGGACACGTCCTCAGCATTCTTTATGTTCAGGGGCTTCCTGTGTCTACCTGGTGACTACTTGCCTGGCATTCTAAGGTGGCACAAAGGCTATTTAATGTGTGTTCTCTCGGCTTGACCACAGCGCAAAGCAATACATTGATGTGGCTTCGTCGTGGCTTTCCTGTTGCTGCTGCCTCTGTGAAATTGACATTAGGTCCCTATATGGCAATTCCTCCCTGCGGCCCTGGCTATCTAGGTAACTCTTCCCCAAGGTAATTCTTATCTTTCTCCCATCGGCATAGCTGACTGCATTTCTTTTTAAGGAGCAGAAGTCCTGCCTTTGCAAAAGCTGACCATCTCATTGCTTGATTTCATAACTGGGCTAAATGTCACCATGGGGGAAAAAATCTACCATGAAGCCTACCCGTACAAAAAGACATGAGCCCCCTGAATTCCTCTGCATTGACTGATGTGTCAGATCCAAAGTGTTTGGAGTAACCCGTTGTTCTGGCATCCAGTGGAGAGGGCTTTCTTAGCCAGGACTGAAAGCTTGAGAGGCCTTTTATTTCAAACCCTCTAAACTCCGTGCTCAATGAGTATGGAAAGTGTTGCATGTGGAAATCACCGGGGCGACTGGGGGAAATGTTGCCAAAAGAGAAAGTTTCCAGTTCCTTGCTTTCAAAAGTGTGCACTGTGCCATATGTTGTGAGGTAATACAAATGCTCTGAATGGGGGCGCCACAGCCAAGGAAAGCAAATACAGTTCTAGTCCCTAATCCCGGGCCAACGCAGAACTACTAAGAAAGAGCGAAAGACCAGGCTGCTAGGAACCCAAGCAGTGCAAAATGGAAGGAAGCTGCCCTGGGCCCAGAGCTTCATTTTGTTTAGGAGGAGAAAATGAGCTTGAAAGTGTCCCTGAAGCAGCAGTGTTCACATTAACGGATACCATCTGGAAATCAAAACTCAGAGTTTGTTTTTACAGATTTCTACTGAAAACCTGCTCCAGCCAGGGAAACTCACATCTCAGAAGTCTCCAGCAGGGCACTGAGATGTAAACAATCATTTAGCAAAATCCGGAGTCAAAATGACAGACGAAGGCTGTTGTCTTCTCTTTATGTAAATCAAGAGGTGAGGTCGGATATGACCAAGTGCCAGGAGATGTTACAGTTTGTAGTGAGGCATTTGAAGGAATTTTTTTTTCTTTTTAATTTTCCTGGGTACATAGTAGGTGTATACATTTATGGGGTACATGAGATGTTTTGATACAGGTGTGCAATGTGTAATAATCACATTGGGATAAATGGGGTATCCATCACCTCAAGTATTTTTCCTTCCTTTCTTCCTTCCTTCCTTCCTTCCTTCCTTCCTTCCTTTTTTTTTTTGAGATGGAGTCTCACTGTCACCCAGGCTGGAGTTCAGTGGTGCAATCTCAGCTCACTGCATCCTCCACCTCCTGGATTCAAGCGATTCTCCTGCCTCAGCCTCCCTAGTAGCTGAGATTACAGGTGCCTGCCACCATGCCTGGCTAATTTTTTGTATTTTTAGGAGAGATGGGGTTTCACTATGTTGGCTCGGCTGGTCTTGAACACCTGACCTCAAGTGATTCACCTGCCTTGGCCTCCCAAAGTGCAGAGATTACAGGCGTGAGCCATCACGCCTGGCCACATTTATCATTTCTTTGTGTTACAAACATTCCAATTATACTCTTTTAGTTATTCTTTAAATGTACAATAAATTGTTGACTGCAGTCATCCTGTTGTACTATCAAATACTGGATCGTATTTATTTCTTTTACCTTTATTTTGTACCCATTAATCATACCCACTCCCCTGCACCCTGCCCCCATTTTAAGTAATTTTTAACAGCATCAGAGACAGGCAAAATGTATCTTCAGTACTCTTCATTCCCCTCAAGTATCTCAGGTCCTCATTCTGGTCCCCTATTTAATCACCCTCTCTGAATCCCCTTCCCCCGATATTACCTTTCCTGGGGGATAGTGGTTCAGTGGAGGATAATGGTTTAATGGGTTTGTTAGTCTCTCTTCCCATCTACCCTCTCCCCGTATCTGCATTTTAACCGGGCTTTCTGGTGACAATACTGTGCCTCTAGAAGAACTGTCTGAATTGTGGGGATTTGAGGCAGCAACTTGGCAGGCTGTTGGGAGAATAAGACAGTTGCATTTGTGGAGCAGGTATACCTCTCAAATCCCCATTCTGCAGACAGTCACCTACACATGAGCATTCCCTGCTTAGAAGCTGGCTGGAGTTTCCTTTGGTTGCGCCTCCCATCTCCTGCCATAGTCTGGCAGGCATGAGCAGGAACGTGGGCAAAAGCCTTGCCTTCCTGTTAGGCGCAGAGCATTAACTGTTCTGTGTTGTTGGCTGAGAACAATTAGTGCAGGTTTCTCTGGGTAACTGGGTGAAACACAGTCCCTGTGCATAATTCTACGTGCTCACCCCTTGCCTGCATATGACTACTTTCAAACAAATTTCCCAGCCAGAAGTGCTCAGCTTCTCAGAGAGCCCCCATGCCTGGCTTCTTTCTCTGGCCCTCCACCAAGCTGGGACGCAGCTGGGTTGCAATTCCATGGCCGTCCACTTCCTGCTGCTCCGCGATGGACTGTGGTCATCCCCGTGCTAAGGAAGGTCACGGGCTTGTTAATTAGCTGGAAAGCAAAGACAGGATACAAATGTTCCTAGAAAGAAACTAGCATAGTATGACGTCAGTACTGTTTTCAACTTTTAGCTGCTACCCTTTCCTGCTTCCTGAAGATATTTTAACATGACTTTGAGCACAATTAAAGTGAACTGCCTTAGAGCCAAGGTTAAGCGAGGTATGGGCCTCAGAGTCACAATGCACTGATTTTTCTTTTGGTTTCTCAAAAACTACAAGAATGTGAAACTACAATGTATGTGAAACTACAATGGGGAACAGAGATGTCCTAGTTTTATTTTTATTTGCATGCAACATACACTTGCATGATCCTTTATTCTTGACATTTTTGCATTATAATTTCATTTGAAGTTTTACCAGAATCATTTTAGGTAAGGTGGACATTTATCTTTCCCTATGTCATCGGAATGAGATATCTGAGCTTAGAGAGCTACTACAGGTAGTAGTGACCAAGGTAGAACTAATCCCAGGTTTCCTGGCTCCTAGACACGATTTCCATTGCATCCGATTGCCTTTCATTACAGAATCCAGAAAGAGTTGTGGGTTGGTCGAAATCTATCAAATCTGTTCAAGAGGAAATATGCTTTTGTTTTTTTCGTCTGTCCAGCTTTCCTTCCTTAGGGAATCTCCCAGCCCCCAATTCTATAATACGACTCACCTAGTTTGGCTATGGTGAAACCCTCCTTGTCCTCTACTAAAGATACGGAACTAAGACCTCGCCAGTCAGTCTTCCATGATCCCGGCCTCAGCAATTGGCTCAGGTATGGGCACATGACCTAGGCTGGCCAATCAGTCTTCTTGGGCCTTTTGTTAAAGCTCTTTTCTTTCTCTAGGTCCTTGCTGCCGTGAAGCAAGAGTCTGTCTGGAAATGAAGGCACCAGAGGCAACAAAGCTGAGACATGGAGACAGAGAGAGTCCTGATGTTATTATTTGAACCATTGAGTTCAGCTGTGCCTGAAACTCTTCAGTGAGCCAAGAAATTCCTTTTTGGCTTAAGCCAATTGGAGTCGTGTTTGTGACACTTGCAAATGAAAGGAGTTATTGACTAATAAAACTGCCATTTCTATCTCTCCAAGAATTAGGAAATACTTCTTTAAAACTGTTTATTTACAATATGCTTTATTCCTTCCCACAAAAAAGAGGCAGCTTATAAAAGTAAATAGGAAAAATAAGCACAAAGGGTGTATAATACATGAAATACATGTGTATATGTTTAGCACAATCTTCATATTAAGTTGATAAAAATTATTATTATTATTATTGTGACAGAGTTTCACTCTTGTCACCCAGGCTGGAGTTCAATGGCGTGATCTCGGCTCACTGCAACCTTTGTCTCCTGGGTTCAAGTGATTCTCCAGCTTCAGCCTCCCAAGTAGCTGGAATTACAGGGGCCTGCCACCACCAGCCCAGTTAATTTTTGTATTTTTGGTAGAGATGGTGTTTCACCATATAGGTCAAGCTGGTCTTGAATTCCTGACCTCAGGTGATTTGCCTACCTTGGCCTCCCAAAGTGCTAGGATTACAGGCTGGAGTCACAGCACCTGGCCCAAAAATATTTTTTAAGTTACAATACGAAGTATTGCTGAGGGTGCTGGGTAATTAACATTGTTGGAGAAATTATAAACTGGTGCAAACCTTCTGGAGATAAATTTGACAGTGCTTATTCATATCCATTGTTTGTCTATAATCAAGCATTCTGCTTTTAGGAATGCATCTGAAAGGCCGGGCGCGGTGGCTCAAGCCTGTAATCCCAGCACTTTGGGAGGCCGAGACGAGCGGATCACGAGGTCAGGAGATCGAGACCATCCTGGCTAACAGGGTGAAACCCCGTCTCTACTAAAAAAAATACAAAAAACTAGGTGGGCGCCTGTAGTCTCAGCTACTCGGGAGGCTGAGGCAGCGTAAACCCGGGAGGCGGAGCTTGCAGTGAGCTAAGATCCGGCCACTGCACTCCAGCCCGGGCGACAGAGCGAGTCTCTGTCTCAGAGAAAAAAAAAAAAAAAAAGGAATGCATCTAAAAGAAATAATTACATAAATAAGGAGATATGCAAAGATTTAGCTATGAGAATGATTGTTATAATCACCAGAAGTTGGAAAACAGCCTGAATATCCAATGATTATAGATTTTTAAAAATGATCTGTCCACCAATTGGAATGCCATTTATTTATTAAAATAATGACATGGACTTTCATTTACTGACTTGGGATAATATTCATATATTGTGAATTGGCTTTAGACTAATGCATTTAAATTCTCCCAAGGCTGACTGGGCGCAGTGGTCCACACCTATAATCCCAGCACTTTGGAAGGCCAAGAGGGGTGAATTACTTGAGATCAGGAATTTGAGACCAACCTGGCCAACATGGTGAAACCCCATCTCTACAAAACCACAAAAATTAGCCAGACATGGTGGTGTGCACCTGGAATCCCAGCTACTAGGAGGCTGAGGCAGGAGAATCGCTTGAACCCAGGAGGTGGAGGTTACAGTGAGCTGAGATTGCACCACTGCACTCCAGCGTGGGTGACAGAGTGAGACTCTGTCTCAATAAAATAAAATAATAAATAAATTCTCCCTAGGCTGCAGCAAGAATCAAATGAATCATTCTTAACCCCATGCCAAACAAACAAACAAAAAACCCTACTTATGTATTGTGGGCCTTAAAAAGAGAGATGTCCAGAAGTGGCAAAAATTAAGCTTAGGTATCCTTGCTTGGGTAAAATTTGGCTGTCCATAGATATGAAGTTAATTATTTCCTGTTAGAACATGTGCTGGTGCTATCTATACAGGCTCCAATTTTCAAATATTTCACTAATATTAGGAGATTATTTGTTGGCATTGAGTTGGGTCTCAAAGTATCATCTATTCTAAACCAATGGTTACAAAAATATAAATATCCTTAAAATAAAGCACTGGTCTGTGAAAAGGAGATCTTAGAACTTCTATTGCTAGTTAACCCTTTTTAATGTAAAAATATAATAAATGTGTTTTATAATGAACATAATACATGTGCCTTATAAGTAATGTGTTTTATAATGTACATAGTAAAACAGGATAGTATATAACAAATAAATATGCAAAGGTTGTTAAAATGTTTTTGATGATAAAGTATGTTCTGGTCATCTATTGCTGGGTAACAAACAAACTGAAAAGTTTGTTTGAATCAAGAGTTTATTTCAGTTAAAAGTGAAAAGCTGGTGGCTCGTTCATAATCTTGTGGACCAGGAATTTGTAAAGCACTCAATTGGGCAGTTCATTTTTGCCCCAGGTAGCGTCAGATGGAGCAGCTGCCTCCAAGATGGTGTACTCACATGGCTGGCAAGTAGGTGCTGACTATCAGTTGGGAGCTCAGTCAAGGCTGTTGGCTGAGGGGAGCCTCAGTTTTTTTCTACATGGTTTCTCCAATGGGCTGTTTGGGCTTCCTCACAGTACGGTGGCTGGGTTCCAAGAGGAAATGTTCTAAGAGACAGGAAGTAGAAGCTGCCAGTCTCTTAAGGCTTGGAGCAAAAAAACACGGTAACATCACCTGCATCATAGTCTATTGGTCAAAGCAGTTCAAGAGCCCATTCATGATTCAAGGCCTAAAGGGATAGACCCCATCTGTTAATGAGTAGTCTGCCAAATAATTTGTGGCCATCTTTAATCTACCACATAATACGTGATCACAAGTGTCTGAAGACCAATAATTTAGACAAACAAATGTGTCCCACAGCCCCACTCCCCTGACTGGGCCTCAGCACTCTCACATGAAGAATTCCTGGCCGCCAGAAGCTGATCTGCCTGGCTCCACCCATGCAGCTCACAAAGAATGTTCCATCGGAAATGAGGCTCAGACTTCTGTCTTAGTGGCTTGTTGACTCTGTAGTCAGAAGAATAGGTACAGGACAACGGAGGAAAAATAAAGTCTATTATTGGTGCCATTGCTTTCTCTCACTCAATAAAACAGAGTTTGACTAATAGAAGAAATAACATATTTATCTGGTCAGGTCTTGGTGACCTGTACAAAGTTTTCTCTTTCACATAGTATACTTTAAACCAAAATATATTAAATACTAACCTAAATATACTCAGAATGACTTTCATGACTCAAAAAGATATGACTGAAACTGTTCTACCAGAAATCTCCCGGTGCACAGGCTGACAACCTGCTCTTCCTTCCTCATCAACCTAGAAAAATAATCACAAACAGAACTTGAAGATTTCTCCTCTATAACAGAATATACTCTTGAGGAAAGGAAAGTTCGTTACTTAACAGTATAAACTTATCTTTGTAAGGAAATGTGTGTGAGATATGAGAGTAAATTTATTCATTGTTTATGATTCTGACCCCTGCCTTTGAGAAGAGAGTATCCTGAGAAGAACCTGCTGTTTTCCAGAGCAGGGTGATAGGTGAGGATGCAAATTAGAAAAGGGAAGAGAGTGAAAACATTGTTTTTCCTGAGAAAGGAAGAGGTGTCTGAAGGAGACAAAAGGACAGACAATGAGTTGTCCAGAGGGCTGGGGTGGGGGATGATTTGGCTAGATGGCTGCGTGTAGTCTCCTCTAGATTGCTACAAACATGTCAGTAAAAGCTGCATGACTGTATCTGGCAATTATTTCTGTGTTGGATTGGATGCTTTAGGGGGATGATCCCAGGGAATGTTGACGTGCATTGGAGGTAGACAAAGAGGAAGGACAAGGAAGTCCAGTCACCTGTGAGCAACATCGGAGAAGTCCAAGCTATCCTCACATCAAATTGTGAGAGTGAATATCTCTGAAAAGTAGATGACAAATGACATTTATCCTGTTAATTTTTCACTTGAATATTTAAAAATTTTCCTATTAGTTGGGTTGTTAAAAGGAAATTATTCTGAAACCTGTGTGGACTTTGCAATCAGACATACCCATGTTAGAAGTCAGCTCCAGTATTTCTAAAATTCGGGATTTTGGACACGTTCCTTAAACTTTCTAGGCCTTAGTTTCCTCATTTGTATAAACAAGATAATAATAGTCCCTTCCTTATAGGCTGTTGTGAGGATTAAATGAAATAATTTGTGCTAAATTCTTCAAACGGTGCCTTAGAACTGAGTAGACATACAATGAATGGTAAAAAAAAAAAAAAAAAAATACTATTGTTGTTGTTAATAACTAAAGTTTGCTGGTGGTTCTCAGATCCTGAAAGCAACCAGCTTTTTCTACTGGCTGCCAAGAAATTAAGGCAGCACTGGGGTATGTGTCTTTATCCTTTAAAGAACCAGCAGAGTAAATTCAGCTGAGTTTTATCCCTATCACCATAAATCACACAAGATATCATCATTCTAAAGAACAACGTTTTGAGCACTTACAGTGTGAAGCTTATTTAAGTTCTCTAGAAGTTAGACACGGTCAGTGGGGCCTCCATCTCATAGCCAGGTCAGTTCTGGCCCCTAAAACCCAAGTGCCTCAATCTCTAATTAAAAACACATTAAGGGTGGGCTATAATTAGCACTGGACCCACATGTTCTTAATTCCCAGGGAAGAATACACATTACATTTCAGGACTTCTACACTATCCAAAGCATTCTGATGTGGGGTTTGGGTTCCTCATGTGAGAGGCTTTTTGATGTGGTTTCTGTTCCAGTAAGTTATACTCTGGCTTCTCAGAGCGGGCCTGGCCTGCCATGCTCAACATGAATTTTAAGTGCCGACCAAGTATGCATGCCTGAGGCGGACAGCACCACAGACTGCTCTGGCATTAACTCATTAGGGGCTGTTTCAGTGTGGCATGGGCCCCACTGTTCAGGGCATCCAAGTTGCTGCCCTGGAGCCTGGCAATCTGAAACAGCACCCCTGAAAACATTTTTGGTCTTTGACTTCTTCAGTGGGAGGAAAAGAAACCTCTGAACCCTGCATGTGCCTGCTTGAGGCTACAGAGGCAAACTTGTGAGGATTCATGAAACATCTGCGCTGCTCAGAGTGACATCTTTCTTGTGGTGCCTAGTTCTTATCCATTATATACGAAAGCATATACACACACGCCCAACTTGGACTTGCAATGGACATATAGCAAATGTGAGAAATAAACTTTTTGTTTTCAGCTTTGGGATCTGGGGGTTAA